TTTGTTGGTGGACTGACCATGGTCCAACGTGTCACAAGCTGCCTGTCACAGGCGTGCCCCCTACTCTATTTTCTAGAGATTGGTTCTATGTTAGATTGGGCCTAGAGTGTTATGTCAGTTTCTATGGAACATGTTCTCGTTGGTTTATAATGGAGGTAGTTTTTATGATGAAAGTAATTTCAATTGATGTAGGAAACACAAGCTGCCTGTCACATGTTCTCTTTTAGCCATTTTAAGGTAAAAACAGAAAAGATTAGGAGGGGAAGAGAGAAAAGACTGAGGCAAGGGGGAAGAAAAGAGAGGAAGAGAAAAAGAAAGGAAAAAAAAGACTTGAAGGGAGAGAAACCAAAATTTAAAGAAGCAAATGCTTCAAATTCTATTCCAATATAACAATAAATCCTCATTACACCAAATATTTTGATATAGGCAAAAAGGGTATCAAAGAGCCAATAGCAATCTTTGCAACTAAACAAGTTAATCAATTGAGATTGCTATCATTTTTTATGCAACAAGAGGTGGTACAAGTTATGCAACTTTTGGTTGCTACCTCTTTTGGCCACCATCTTTGGATTCATGAGGGCAAAAGTTGACAACTTGTGATTGTCAACTCCTTTGGTAATTGAAACACTGGACCTAAAGCACCAAATAAAATAAAGTGCTATACTATTCTGCATAATAAGATGCCACCTCATCCTAAGAAAATGAAGAAACAAAATACTACGAGAATAACTCATAAACTTAGGTAATATTTCTAAATACCCAACATATGTCCCAGACAGTCCATATAATGTAAGAAAAAAAAAGAATTACATAAATACTATAAAAAAAACACTTTCTAATCCTAAAAATATTCCATCTTAACTTGTCTGCACCATGTACACTTTTATTTTTCGAAATTAAGTCTTCTGTCTTAGCAGGCTTTCAAGGGTGATTTCATTTTATTATAAGGTTTTCTTCTTTTGCTATTAGGTGAGTACGGCTTCAAATAACTTCGATGATTCTGTTGATGTCAAGCACTGGGATTCCCTAATTACTACCCAGCATTTGATTGGAAATAATTACATCCCATTAGCTAAAGATGTATCTCAAAGGACAAGACAAGAATTGATGTCTTATTTGCTCCAGTAACAACAATCCAAATCAGATCTTCAGCAATATGAAAAATTATATGCAAATTGTTAGTCTCTTGTGAAATCCTACAGAACCTCATGTTTTTTCTAATATCAAACCTCATGTTGCTGACATGTTGACACAACCAATGCCGACTCCTCTAATCAAATTCACTGGCTATGTGATATGAGCAAGGGAACCATAGCAAGAAGAACAAATCTCCTCTGGGAGGCTGATTTATTTACTAGATTGCTACATAAGCTTATCCTAAAAAATAGGAGCCGGTTCAGCTTCCTCTAACATACTGCCGATTGGAATATGGCCAATTGGAATATGAATAAAACATTTGAACATTAAATCTATTGAGTGCAGTCTCAAGAAATTGAGGGTTCTCTTGGATGAATCTTAGGTTAGCAACATAGGGCAACAAGGCAAAAATTCTAACAAAGAAGTGTCTCATTTTTGGAAGATTTGGTCATGACTGGTCTCATCACAAGGTCCCTGACCAAGGGCCATAGCAATCTGGTACATGAGTAGGTTGTTATGGGAACTTCGAGGCTTTCCAGGCATAGTTCAACACCTTGATAAGTATCTGCCAGGATGACCAAGCAAGAATGGAAGAGAAGCAAGAGGAACTCACAACACAAATAGAAAGACTTTCTAAGGGCTTCTTGGCTGGCCGAATAAAAGGGAGCAAGACAATAGAAGACTAACCAAAGGAAGAACAAACTGCTCTATGCCAGCAATATGACTTGTCTGTGCAATTACCTGTAGAATTTGTTAATATTCTGCATGGCGAGGAAACTACAATCAAATATTTGATTTAGCTATAATGAGTTTATGAAGAATTATGTATGACCCAACCTGTAACAGTTGACATGAAGACAATGCAAAAGAATTGGGAGAAATTAGTTACTATGTGATGAGATTAAAACGAAATTTGAGTTTGCTAAATTTTACTGAACTTCCTTCTTTTGCTTAAGTCTAACCATGACAGTTGTGGTTTTCGTTCAAGGATACCTCCTCCCAAGATAGTAGTTGTGCCAATTCTGATTCAGCTTTAGGGGAGGCATACCTAACGGATGGTTGGGCAAGAGGTGAGAAGGAGAGTCTAGAGGATTCAAGACGGCAAATCAGGTGAGAGCCAAGAACCTATGAGTCACCCATTGAGAGTCAAGAGGCAAGAAGAGAGGGCTGAGTTGAATGAGTGCCAGTAATGATATGCTCCATGTTTATTATTCAGCTAAACACTGATAGAGCCAATAAATGCTTTAGGTTCCTCCTTGTACTAAACATAGTACCACCTCTCTTTAGGTGAAAGATATTGAGCAATATCCAATTGCTTTCATGAGCTTCTCCTTTCTATTCTTTTTATTGCTCCATTTCAATGGGTTGTTCAAAATTTGATCTGAGGGTTCCAAGCTTCAAACAGTTCTTTCTTCCTTATTGCTAGCCTTTTCATGGACTGTTGTCTTTTGTGGGCATTGATATTTATGCATCTATACCATAGTCATTGGTTTCTAGACCACAAGTCTTCTTATCAACTAGAAGATTTAAGTTTTATTACTCTCGTCATTCTCAACAGCGTGTTTTTCTGGTTGGATGAATGGATTGAGGGTAGAACATTGGTACAAAACCACCATTCTCCTTTATCCTCCCCATCTTCTCATTATTAATTAACAGGAAACCAAAGAAATTGAAAAAGAAAAAAAAAGTTTCTTAAAAAAAAGGTATTTTCAGGCTTAACAACCAGACTGAATTGGTACACGACAGTCCTCAGTCTGGTCCAGACTGGCTACTGTTTGGGATAGTCTTAAGTCTAGTAAGGACCAGCTACTGTTCACTAGAGTCCTCAATCCGAACAGATTCTGAAAAATGATGCCAGTAAAGTATGGTTGGCTTCCAAACTAATGGCCATTCTTACCAAAGATATAAAAACAATTCTATTTCATTTTAAAATATTAAAAAAAGTTGATAGTTTTATCACTATCAGATAAATAATGAAATTTTGAAAGAAAAAACAGTAAATTAGAAAGGTGAATTTATAATATTTATCCCACAAAATAAAGATGGTTTTACGAGTAACCAAATCATTCCATATAGTATCATAACTAACGGTCTACCATCAGATCTTGAAAACCTTGCTCATCTCTTGTTATTACTCACAGACTTTGTAGCATCAAACTATACAACTCTTAAATAATTAAATAAGATGCTTGAGTTTTCACAAACTTGATAACTTTCCATAGAAATATTGCCGGCCTATCAATTATGTCAACTATCATAATAAAGTTAACGGACTGCTAAATAATTAAATAACTTGCCAATTATCTCAAAAAATAATACTTAAGATTTCAGAATCTTAATTCCCAACTCAATATTTTCACATACAAATGCGAATACGTGTTAGGCTGTCTTCTTATCTGGGCGATTCTTTAGCCTATCTCTATTAGCTGCCTGAATTGTTTCTTATGCCTACCTACTACTTGATTATGCAGATAGGGAAGAAATAGCCTTAGCTGGTTTTCAATCCACACCAAAAAGGTATGCCGTCAAAAGATGCTTAATGTGCGTGAATCCGTTCGTTCTTATTAGCATTCATATTTAGTGGCAGAAAGACACTATCTGTAATTAAAGTGAATGGGAGAACAATACCGTGCCTGCAAGCAAATGGAAGAGTAATATTCTGAGATTCAGCGGTGTGCAATATGTACTGATCCTGCATTCCGAGGAAATTTATTCCCAAAATATACATACATAGTCAATTGAAATACACAAGGTCAAACTTCTGCTTAAATCAAAATTAACATTTATTACTTTCAACTATACGATAATTGCCGAAATTCTACTTAAATCAAAATTACAGCGTTTCTCTTTCCATAGCTTTCAATCTCTCATTTCACGAAGAAACAAATAGAGGCCAGTGCCGTACCTCGGGAACGAGGAACTCATGGACGACCCCTCGTTGTCTGTCGTGCACGGTGATTTTATGCGTAGGAACTGTGGAAGAGCCATTACTGGTTACACTGGTTGTACCTACTGAAGCTTGGAGCTCCGACGAAATGTCAAGGCGGCATTTCAGGGAACTTACATTACAAGTTCTGGTGGTTGTCGGAGAAAGTCGCCTGTGAAGCGACGGCTTCCGGTGGAGTGGGGCAGAGAGATTGCAGGTGGCGAGAAGGTCCATGGATATTCTCCTTACAATGATCCTTACTGGTCGCTCGTTAAGCGAGGATAAAACATGAAAGCTGGAAAGGAGTTATTAAGGTGCTCCCGGGTGTAGCAATATATGGTGAACTGGTGCACTAAGATTGGGTTCCTCGCCGGTACACGCCCAATCAGCTGCACTGCAGTGGCAGGATGGTAACGGGAAAAATAAAAGAAAGAAGAATTTATGATTAGATTAATTCAAAGTAATTCGATTTAATTTTTTATTTTCCCTATTTTTTAGACGAATTTTTATGAATATTTTATAGAGAGAAGGGATGTTCAAATTGATGTTAATAAACATATTCCTTTGTGCTTTTGGATCGAAATATATTTAAACACCAATAAAATGTACGAGACAAAGTTGAAGTAACATATAATAAATCAAAAAAATTTAAAATTGAGTTATTAGTATATAATTATAAAATATTTAAAATATATGACAGAAGAAAAGTATTGAAGATATATGTTCATTAGGTTTACATAGTGAAAGGATGTCAACAAGTAGGGATTAATACTCATTCATAAAAGATGGACTCATGATCTCAACAATAACTAATATTTACGATCATTATTGAAGGAATGAGTGCCAAAAGTAATTGTAATACAAATTTAAAAGAGATATTAAATAAATATCTAAATCTTTTACTAACTCACAAGTTAATTGTAAGTTAAAACGACAGAGCACCTAACAAAAAAAAAAATATTGCTCTCAGACTCAATAAGAAATAAATAGTTCCACGAACGAAGATATTTTAGAAAATGAATAACCGGTCATTTTAGTAAGAAAATTCAAAAAAAGAAAAAAAAACATATAATGTTAACAAAAAAAAAAGACTTCCTAATAAAAAAAATATATATATATATATATATATATACATAAAAGAGAAACTCATATATAGAAACAACCAATTTAATTATCTATAATATAAGAAAAGACAGTGATAATCACATAGTTAAATACTAATATGTATGCACATGAAAAATGACCTTAATTGAATTAAACAAATTTTTATGTGATGGCATTCGATGATAAATCATGTTGGTATCCACGTCTTTAATTAATTTTAATAAATTATTTAAGTTATACGTTAGAGTTCAAAAAGGTAGGTAAGAAAGATAATGTTCTTAAAAAAGTTTTCAATAAATTTCTAATCTTGTGCTGATTTGTAGAAAAACTTTGATTAAAAAAATTCATCAGCTCCACACCACCTTTTAGCTTGGAAAACATTAATGGATATGCTGGCATTTAAAAAGAAAAAAAAAAAAAATTGTAGCCAAATTAATCTTGGGCTCGATTGAAAATACCTTTAAATATGTCAACACCTCAACGACTGCTTTTAGTTTACATTTTATCCAGACTATGTTGTTTTTTTCATCTATATTAACCTTAAAATTTACAACTACTTTAACCTAAATTGTTCTTTTTTTTGGCCAAGGGGTTGAAAAGTAGCTCTAATTTGCATTATTAAAGATTTGTTGCAGCTAATTGTTACACAAATACAGTTTTTAAGTTTTGAATGTGTCTTACAGATTTGTGTGCATGTACGTGCACGCTGGCGCTTGTACGGACAAAATAATGTTCGTGTTTGGGTGCGCATCTACGAGTTTCATGCTTGTTTATGTATAATCCACTTGTGTGCGTGTGTGTGTGTGTGTGTGTGTGTTTGTCTCATGCCTCTGTCTTGATAGACTTCTAATCCATCCAAACATGTTGTAAATAGTTATGAAAGTGCAAGGGGGTTTAGATATTTGGATTCTTTTACCATCATGCAGATTCTTAGCTTTCTTACTATGATTCTCTCTAATTCTTCTGGCAACATTCTCTCCACACTCATCCTTCAATCCTGGTTTTAACATCATTTCATTTGTTTTTAAAACTTTCTTTTTGGGTTTTTATTGGCATTTACAATTGAGATTTTCAATATTAATTCTTTGGCTGTAGTAGACAAATTCTTCATATATGATTCCAAGTAGTTCACCACTTCTGGTGGATTTTGAAGCAACCTCAGTTGTCCCCAGATGGAAATTAACAACAAAATTGTACTCAAGCTGTATATGATTGATTTAAGACTGCAACAATAAAACCATTGTTCTTTTTCATGGAAATCATATTAAAACTCAAAAAACATTTACACATGCTTATATGGTTTCATACTTTTACTAACAATAAATCTCGTTCCAATCAACTTACTTTTTTTCAGAATATTGACAAAAAATTGAAAGCAACATCAACAAATAGTTCTTTTTTTTGGTTAAGAAAATTGCAAATTCATTGATCAAACTGGATGAAATCCATCCTGCTCAAACATCAGCAAATACTTGTATCACAAATTAGCTCCAAAAGTTCACAACGGCACTTAATGCAGATATTACTATACTTACAAACCACGTGTGACAAAAGGTGGAGCATCAGACAGGAAGTAGAGAGAACAAAGCACTATTACAGTAGACGAAAAATGGGCTGATCATAGTGCAACTGGACCACAAGCACAACCAACCAACAAACGAAGAAATGAAGATAAATCTGTAACTTCAGAAAAGAAATGAAAAATATTCATGAAAGATGAATCTTGACAGCAAATGCATTCTGCTTTAGTGTCAGAATCTATGTCGATTTATGGAAACAGACTGAGATGATTGCCGACAAATCATTTTCTTTCATTTGAAACTTTAAAAAGTAGATAGCTAGAGAAAACAAATTAACAAATATCTGCTTCATTCATGTTTCAAATCAATTAGAGTAGTAAAATTGAAAAAACAACAGGGGCTTAGAACATCTTGGCAAGTTTCTCAACATCTTTTGGAAGTATCAATCCTTCATTTTGCACAATGCAGTCCAAGTTGAAGAAAAAAAAAGACTAAGTTGGGAAAAAAGTTTCAAAGATAATCAAGCTGAAAATTTAACTTGCAAAAACTCTGGTTAAATCCACATTAGTACACATGACTAATTCCGCTAGACTGCCTACATATAGAAATCTGATGTTCGTAAGCCTACTCCTTCAGGTTACAGCTCTTTTGACTTTCATTCTGTTTACAGCTCCTCCCCATGTGTCCAGTTGAATTATCCAGTCTACATCTCCTAAAAACCAACTTCCCTAATATAAAATGTTCCAGCTGTAACAAAAACTAAACCCAATACAAGTTGCAGAAAGGAACCACAAAAGTGAGAAAAAATAGTAAACAAACGCGAGTGAAGAAAATACAGATTTTTGGAGGACCCTTTTAGACTATCAATATACAGATTTTCACAAAATGAAGCTCCAGGAAAACAAATGAATCAGCAAAGAAGGTACAGCTCTTCGCCGATCATATGGAACTGTAAACATGAAAATTTTATGTCTTGGACTATTGATCTCTCCATCTTGGACTAGAGATGGGGAAAAACCCAGAAGGTGAAAACGGAAACACGAGGCCTGGAGATGGAGGCGGCTGGGGCCCAGGACCTAAAATCCCTGAGTGGGCCATGGGTGAAAATGCGAAATTGGGTGTCAATGGAGGAGGATATTGAATTCCAGGTGAAAGTAGAGGATACCGTGGGGACAACAGATTCATGTACGGCGTTGGTGATGGCAAAAGATACTGAGAAGTTGGTGAGGGTAGAAGGGCAGGACCATTCATTCGTGGTGAAGGAAGATTAGGATAAGGGCGAACAAGACCATTCATCTGTGGAGGTGGGACATTGGGCATAGGTTGGACAGGACCATTCAGTCTGGGCGAGAGGAGTGCAGGCACATGTGGATTAGGAAGAAGAGCAGAAGATGGTGGCTGATTCTGAACTTGACCTAGAAATTGGGGTTGAATAGGTAATTGAGATTGTGGCTGAGCTTGGTTTCCATTTAGACCGGGATCCATAATGGAAGTTTGAAGGTACCGCACATAGGCCGAGATGGGAGATTCAGCTGTATTTGTCCAAACTGACTCCCCTGGTATCATTGGTGGCATCATTGAGGGTGATGGCTGTCCAAATTGAGCAGGCCTCACTAAGCTATTGTTATAAGCAGCTGGAGGTGGAGGCATAGGTGGTGCTGGGACAGGTATTGGAGGGGGCATTTGGGGTCGATTGATTTGTGTTAACGGGGTGGGCCTGATTCTCTGCAACCGCATACTCTGGGGTTTAGGTGGATTTTGAGGAGGCCTAGGTAACGGTTCTTGGGATGGGGAACCAGTAAGCTGCTGAACAATATTCCGGAACTCATTCTTGCTTATGTTATAAACCTGAGGATGAGGTTGTTGCCTAGCACCATTATTCGAAATATTAGGTTGGTGCAATGGACTCTTCTTTATGTTCTTCCCAATCTTGTTCACACCCAAATGATCAGTGTGCCTATTTTTTGAATTATCCATTTCAGGAAGCCAAACCGAATTCACACCGACAGTTTATTGAACAATAAAAACTTCCAAGCACTCAATGCTCAAAAAGATTCCCAAAGCTTCAAGAATTCAAGCTCAAACACCAGTAGCAACAATCTTTTCCAGTAACATGGATAATCAAATATAATGTCAGAATCAAAACACCTGTTGCTTCAACAATCCAACTATTTCATTCTGAACACAAGCGGTTAGAAAAATCCATGCATAAGCTTCAAAATGACACCCATCAGATTTCAAGCGGAGAATCCTAGTGGTGAACCATAATTCAAAGCACAGAACATATTAAATCCCACCAGAGCCAATAAAATGAATTTGCATCCCTTTGCTCTATCCAAACAAAGAAACCCGAGATGGTTCAGCAAAAACTCAAATATCAAGCCCAGATCCAAGTCAAACCAAATCAGAACCCCGAATTACAGCAGCAAAGCCACTCTCCCACGAAAACTTAAACCAATCCGCAGACAATATCACCAAATTATCTAGCTCAAACCTAAATTATTTCCATAACAGAATGAAAATGACCCCAGAAGTTCTGTTCTCAGCTTGATATGCTCAAACCAGTAAAAGACATAACTCTACCATACCAAGAAACGAAAAGAAAAAGATAGGAGATAAGAGATAGTTACGTGTTGAACTAGAGAGAGGAAGCCGAACAACACCCAGGAAGAGGAAGAGACAGTATAGACCTTTGCTCTCTCCAAAATCACAAGAAGCAGAAGAGAAGCAAATCAGAGAAACCCTAAGATGGTAAATTGCAAATGTGTGCGGTCGGGTCAACGAAGAAATGAATACAGATTTTGTTTTCTATTTTTTTCTTTTAAGAAAAAAAAATTAGGTGTGCGGGGCCCAGCACAGTGTCCAATTGATGCTATGCTGACGTGTAAAAACTGTAAAATTCTTTGGAGCTTCAGTCAAAGTCAACGGAATCAACGTCCAAGTTTCCAACTGTGCAGCTTTGCGGAAGAGAGAGTAATTAATTGTAATTTATTTATTTACTATATAATTACAAATATTGTTATACTTTTAATTCTATAATTATATATTTTTATTCTCATATGTCACGGGAAAACAGAAAAACGCATAATTTAAATAAAAAATTAATTTCGAATTGAAATGTTATTTTCATTCAAATCACTATCTTTGTATTTATTATAAATTATAATTTGAACCAAATTTAAAGTGATTCCATAAAAGTAAAGAAATATTCCTTTTTTAATGTTTTTTATTTAATATATATCTTTCAAGCTTTTAGGAGAATAAAGCGATGAGCAAACCTAGTCAGCTAAAGAAAACAATTAGACATAGATGTTACACAATTTATGTTAGAAAACACCAATGATGTCCTATAACGACTCGAAACTTAAAAAAAAATAAATTATAAATAGAATACGAAAGCGCAATAATAAAGTTAGGGTTTACATTCCTTATACAATAATTTAGAATACTCGATAGGGTTACGAAAATGACCATTCTAAAAGAATAAATGAAAAATTAAAAAAGTAAATGAAAAGTAAACAACTGGGCATCTTATTCGCAATCCTTTTGTGGATTGGGATCTGGATCTTGGTCCTATAATCTGAAATGGTTAATGAGAGAGTGAACTACACTAACTCAGTAAGAATGTCACACTACTCACCGATACAGAAATAAAGATTGGTAAAAAATATAAAAACTACTAATGGAGATCTTGATTTAAGTAAATTCATTTATCATAAATAAAATCATTTATTGCATACTTACCGTAGCAAGATTTCCAAAAATCGACCTATAGGGACAATGGTTCAATAACATCATAATCTCATATTTAAGTAAGTAAGAATAATAATTTTCCTTTTTTATCTGTTTATTGGTATCCATGGGGATCTATAGGAATATCCCCACTACACGTGAACCCATAACAAAACTAACTGACCGTCCCCATACTCCGTCCGATATGAGAGCAAAAAATGTCATCACTCAATACCCCGTCTAGTATGAGGGTGAAAATGGTCGTCCCCATACCCCGTCCGATATGTGGCAACGTTCACAGTAGGATTTCTTATGTACCTAGTCTGTCCACCATTTCCTAGAATGTTCAGTAAGGTTACCATTCATTTATTCACTTAATCAAGCAATTCCTGTTTACATTTAATTTTTAGTTTCACAATTTAACTGTAAATCACGTAAGACAAACAATACATGCATCAAAGAAACACAACCAAATTATTTTACCAATTTCAGTGTATTATCATATATTTAAAACTATCAAATCAAACAATCAGTTAAAACAAAATAAATAATGATAACTAACCGGTTCTGCTCCATTAGTAACATGTAATTAATTATCAAAATTTTTTAAATTATACAAAATACCATATTATTTATAATTAAACTTCAATTCTATAATAGAGAATAAGGTAAGGGATCCTTATTCGAATCGATATTCAAAATACTAAGTTTTCAGCTATGCCTACTAGCGGTTCTCGAATTTCTTAAATTTTCCTACGGAGATTGAAACACGCTTCACGTACTTAGAAAAATACCCCAAAAAATCTAAAATCAGTGTTAAAAACTTTTTTCGGCTAATTTCGGCTTGACTAAATTAAAAAAAAAACATTGAAGGATTAATAAATATGATAAATAATTAACTTGTTAATTATAAAGTTAGATTTTAAATTTAGTACTTTCAATAAATACGCATACGATGTACACAAACATTTATGAATATATCATACATGCATATTAGTGCACACTAAGGCAAAAACATGTATTCATATACATATAATCATATTTAATTCTTAAATTTATATCTAAGAGTAAAATAAAAAAGAAGACAAATCTAGGGCTATAAGGGGGAGTTGATTGAAAATCTCTAATAGATTGAAATACTCCCCCTCTTGCCAAACCTATTGATTTTCTTGAATGGAGTGACTTTAAGGAACACCCGATCACCTTTCTTAAATTCTAAATCTCTCATCCGAGTATCCGCTTAACTCTTCTGTCTGCTATGAGCCGTCTAGATGTTCTTCCTGATCTTAACTATTTTGGCTATTGTCTCCTCCACAAGATTTGGACCAAACAATCTTCTACCACCAATCTCTTCCCAACAGATTGGCGATCTGCATGGGCGGCCATACAATGCCTCGTACGGAGCCATGACAATACTTGTTTGGTAGCTGTTATTATAGGCGAACTCTACTAGGGGTAAATGATCATCCCAATGACCTCCGAAGTCAAGAACACAAGCTCGGAGTATATCTTCTAGTGTGCAGATCATCTTTTCTGATTGTCCATTAGTCTGATGGTAGAGTACAGTACTAAGGGACAGTTTCGTTCCTATGTCCTGCTGAAAACTAGACCAGAACCAAGAAGTGAACCTGGGGTCCCTGTCGGACACTACTATCACTGGCACTCTATATAACCTGACTATCTCCCGAATATACATTCTTGCTAGCTTGTCCAATTCTAGTACGGCGGCACCGCCGCCCGCGATGGTGGTTTGCCTCGAACTAGCCGTTTTCGGCAAGTTTTGGACGATTTTATACTCATCCCTACCAGAAAATATGTTAAGGGATCTCAGTTGATCGAAAAAAGTCAAAAAATAAAAACTCACCAGCGGCGAAATTTTTCGGTGCGGCGGCTCCATCGGCTCACCTTCGCGGTTGGACATTTTTCTTCGGTTAACCTGTAGAAAATAGAATGGCGAATACAATGGTGAAAAAATCGTACGAAATGAGAATTGAAAAGAAGCTCATCAGAGGCGGTCTTTGGTTTTTCTTGCGGGGTACTGCCAAGTTTTACCACGGTTTCTGGTTCATTCATCTGTCCTTTTGCTCCGATTTGACCATAGGCACGTTCAAAATCAAATTTCGAGCGAATATAATTTTTTTACCTTTTTTGGCAGTCGAAGGTGGCTCCGACGCGGCAGTAGGTGGCAACTGGTTCTTCTCCAGCGGAGGGCTAGCGGTTAGGGTTAGGGTTAAGTGTGAAGTGAGATATTTATACCCGTTTTTCTTTAATTTGGACCGTTCATCGCGTTTGATCTCGACCGTCCGATCGCATTTAAAGAAGAAATAAATATAGACCGTTCATCGCGATTTGATTAGGACCGTACGATCATGTTTAAAAAGAGAATAATTTGGACCATTCGTCGCGTTTAATTACGACCGTCCGATCGCGCCTGAAGAGGGAACGGATCCTGACCGTCCACGAGCGCGGAAACAAATCCAAACCGTCCAATCGCGGGCACACAGATTGCCAGTGTGGCCTCTCGTGTGGCATCGAGTTAGCATGCCTTGCCACATGACGCGCTCCGGTTCGTCGGGGCTGCTGACTAGGCGGTCCTAGGCGATATATTTTTCTTAAATTGTGTTTTTACCTCTAATTTTTTATTTTTTTTTAAAAAATATCCCCCGAAACTAAATTTTTACCTCTTTTTCCTAAAAATTTTTGCAATTTCATCATCCACATATTTTTTTCCTAATTTTTACATTAAACAAAGATTTATAAGTTTAAAAATTATATTTATATATTTTTATTTTTATTTTTATTTTTTAAAAAATTAATCTTGGGCTAAATTTTGAGTCCGAGTATTACAACTCTCCCCTCTAAAAGAAATTTGGTCCCTCAAAATTGTCTCTCTATTACTCAATCAAACAGTTGAGGATACTGGACTCTAAAGTTCAAGTCTGATTCTAGCTCCCATGTGGCCTCTCTCTATGTGTGATTCTGTCATAGGACTTTAACGTAAAGAATTTGCCGGTGGCGGAGTACTCTACTCTTTCAGTCACATTAAATACACACCTTATCCTGAAATCTAAGCAACCCATTGGCAAAGACTCAAAATTCTAAATTTACTCCATGTTCTGCATCTTTCTTGAGGGCTGCTAGGGTGGAATCGGCAGATTGGATTTCTTTTATTCTCTGAATCAATTCAGGCTGAACAGTCAGGTAGACCAAGCATGTAACTCTCTTCAGGTCTTGAAGTTATACTTGTTGTGCAGCCCCTATTGTCTTACATTATGAAACTATTATGTGAGCTAATATACCTGTGTTTTTTCTACTGAGTGCATTGGTTACCACGTTGCCCCTACCCGGGTGATACAAGATGTTGCAATCGTAGTCTTTGAGGAGTTTTATCTATCTTCTATAACGCATGTTGAGATTCTTTTGAGTAAATATGTGTTTTAAGCTCTTATTGTCGGTATAGATATGAAAGGTCTCTCCATACAAGTAATGACACCAAGTCTTTAAGGCGTGGATAATCTCGGTGAGTTTTAAGTCATGGGTGAGATAGTTTTTCTCATGACTCTTGAACTGCATGGACCCATAGGTTATGACCTTCCTATGCTGTATCAGAACACAATCCAACCCCAGGTAGGAGGCATCACTATAAGCTGTATATCCATATGTCCTGCTTAGAAAGGCCAATACAGGTGCAGTAGTCAAGTACTTCTTCAGTTCTAAAAAACTCTTTTCACAGTCATCGTTCCACTCAAACTCGACGTTCTTCTTTGTGAGCCAAGTCAAAGGAGCAGGTAGACTAAAAAATGCTTCCATAAACCTACGGTAATAACTTGTCATCCCTAGAAAGCTATGAATCTCCTTGACCGATGTTAATTTTTTTCAGCCAAGCACTGTCTTAACTTTTTTTGGGTTCACTGATACTCTATCCCTTGATATGATCTGCCCTAAGAAAGTAGTCTGCTCGAGGCAGAACCCATGCTTACTCAACTTTGCATACAACTTCTTTTCTTTGAGAACCTGCAAAACCTGAGTCAGATGGTGAGCGTGT